TGCGTCGCTACCCTGTGGGTCTAGGCATTTGGATGGGTTCGCGTATTCTGCTGCGAGAACTTCTGCTTGAGCTTTTCTTTTCCCACTCTTGCGACTTTAACTCTAGTCGTGATGCGTCTTGTCGCCAACTCCTGGGTGGTATAGCGATCTCGGACTCCAGACTTAAAGGCGCGAATTACAGAAGCGTCGGTGATCTCAGGGATTGTATTCCTGCACTCGTTAAAGCGCCGAACAAATTCCCGTAGGGATTCACCCGAGTTATGTGTCAACGCATGTAGGTCATCTTCAATCGCGTGGCGCTTGTAAGTTCCTTGGAAATTGGCGATGAACTGCTGCCACAGGTCTGCCCACAAAGAAATCGAGTAGGGCGGGAAGTGCATCAGCCATGAGCGTGTAGAGCCTTTTAATGCAGATGGCAAATAATTTGCCAACGCGTTGTCGTCCGCTCCGGCAGCATAGAGTACTGTGGAGTAGACTTGAAGGAATTCTTCTGGGTCAGTACTCCCATCGTACTTCTCTATTGCTCCGGGTCGGAATATCTCAGGCCATCGGACATCACACAGGGAACGACCGAAAGCTCTACATCCAGCGCTGGGGGCGGTGGGTTGTCGGCGATCGTGTGTCCTTCGTGGATGTCTGTCTGACGATGAGGATGAATAAGAAGATGACGATGACGATGAATCGCTTGGTTCCGGTGTGGGATTACGGGGTCGTCGGCTGGGTTCTCGAGAATCCTGTCGTCGCCCTCCGTTGTTGTCCCGGCGCCGATCTCCGTCGTCCTCGTCGTTATGGCGGCGTCCTCGACCAGTATCGCCCTGCGTACGCCTCTCGCGATCATCATGATCGTGGCGATTGTGGCGATTAGCGCGGTCTCGGTCTTCGCTCGAGCGGCCCTCTCGTTCTTCGCGATGTCGGGAAGAGACGCGATGTTGGGAGCGATTCCCGTCGTCTCGCATGCGCCGTGCCTCTCGGCGGCCGTTGAGATGGTCACGGAGATCGCCGGTGCCACGAGGTGGAGGGGTAGCTTGATGGGGTGACTCCCGCTGTTCGGGATTTTCGCCATCGACACCGCCGGTTGGTGGTTGTTCCCGGTGCGTAGCAGCAGCGGCTTCTTTGAACGCGTGGCTGAGGTTGGTTACTGATTCCCGTAGCCGTTCCTGCCACCACGCGAGATCATTGTTCAGAACGGGATCGTAAGGTCTCTCTCTCAGTATTGTGTTAAGGGTCCTGATGTGCTGGGCCGGTGTAGTCACTTGATTTTCTGCCTCCGCATTAGCGTGTGCTGACGTGCTGGTCCCGTCGATAGCTAATACCTCGCGTGGCGTACTCGTTGGAGATGAGCTGTAGTCCTCGAGTAGATGCAGGACTGATGGTTCGTGGGAATCGATGTCGATTACGCCGACGAATCGATCTGAGACCAGCGTTCGTTGTTCCTTGTCTTCATCTCTAAGGGATATGCCTGACTGTTGGTCCTTAGGAGGTGACGTCTTCGTGGCGCTGAGAAAGACCTTGCAGCTTGAGAGGTCGTGATTCTTTGTCTTGTGAATAGGACAGTAAACATCACGCGTTGGAGAAATACGCTGAATTCCACGCTCGTTGCAAGCGCGAATTTCGGCGCGGACGTTGAGAAAAACCCAGCAGGCTTGCAAAGTGTGTTTCCTGGTTTTGTGGATAGGACACCAGGACCTTGTCGCTTCAGAAGTTGTTCTCGTCGGCTCGTGGTTCTTGTCGGAACAACAAGGTTCGGCCGCATTAGAATCCTTCTCGAGCTTAGATGTTGTCGACGTTCTGTTCTCCGCTTCGGCGGGAGGATCCTTCGACACGGAGTCGTCTTGGGTTGCAACCACTGCGTTCTCGTTTCCGGTCATTGACGGACCGGCTGAGATCGGTATCGTGGTGTAAACCGGGAAGACGATTTCACCGACTTGAGTCCACACCAACATTGTTGAAGCAGGAAACCCGTGGTTGAGGTTGGTGTTGACGCTGTTGTCAACGAAGCTGGATGACATAGTAGTAGAACCTTGAGCACCAAGTCCCCCTACCTGGCGCGCCACTGTCGACGGGTGATACCCGTAGACCGGATATAGAGGGTATTGGGGTACGTTGGTACAAGGATCTACGTAATACGACATCGAGCAAACAAAAGATGAGGATTATACTGGTTCAGGCCCCTTGATAGGTAATAGCCCTAATCCAGTTGATATGGGATTATATGATGGAAAACCACAGGTTACAAAGGGAACGATGGAACTCGAAGAAACCGGCGAGATCGTAATCGAGTTAGTTCGACTAGATCTCCCGGCGACTTGGCTCCTGCAGGCTCCGACTTCGTAGGCTGTGGGGGTGGTGTTGGCTGTGAGATTCGATGCCTTAGGTCCTCCCAGGGAGTCCCTTTTATATCGCAGATCAGGTGGTCTCCAAGTAGAACTCGGAGACATCGGACCCTACACGATACATTGACGACCCTGTCTTGTCCGAGTAGGACTCAAATACTATGGAGAATTTCCTTAGTGTATGCAGATAATGTCCGTGTATGCGCGGGTATGCCATGTCGATATGTGGCGCATATCGAAGGGTAAGAGGTATACCTAATCCGTAACCCTAACAGCGAGACCGTTCGGTCTCGCTCTTCCATTCCGCGAGACCGTGCGGTCTCGTGGCGCGAGACCGCGCAGTCTCGCGCGATACCATTCGCGATGTCATTCCCACGTCATCTTCGCGCAACGGTTGTGCGAGACCGATGGTATATTTCTGTAAAAAATTTTGCATCCCGAATATTTCTGAGAAAAAAATGAATGAACAGTATATTTTAAAATTTAATTCTTCTTTGATATATGACAAATTAGATGCAAATGAATAAAAAAATTAAGTTGTCCAAAATGATACATAAAACTACATGGACCAAAGTAAAAACATTACTTGAAGGGTAATCGATAGCGAAACATCGGTAAAAATAAGTATCTTAAATTCAAATGTAGTCTGTTAAAAAAGTGAAGCGAATAATCGGAAAAAGAGGTATACCCACCCCCACGGCCCACCCCGCCAAGCTCATCGTGTGGCGGAGCGGGGAGAGGACTTGTTCACCGGTGTTGTGAGAAGAGGGGATCTTTGACGCGTGGGGTGGAAAAATGCTTTGCAAATGGCATCCAACAAATTAGACTCGGGAAGACCAACGATGAAGAAAATAGTTTTGTCACTTGCATGTGAGCTCGCTAGTTTAAAGTGCAAAGATGCAAACTTTGGTAACAAAACATGGTCTAAAGTGAAAATATTTTCTATTGCCTAGTGCAATATGCAACTTGCTCATTTCGTCCTATAAAAACCAACCTAGCACTGGATTTGGCATATTCTATTACTATGAATTTTGACTGATTCAGCTTGGCGGACATTGGGTAGGCAAGTCACAACGTTACATTGGGTAGATCTGGACCATCCAAAACAAATCCAACGGAGATTTATGTATTATTAAAAAAATTTCTTTTCACGAACTAAACACACCCTAAGAGCAGCTCCAGTGTGAGACAAAAATCAACGCACGGGCAGAGAAACCGAACCAAATACTCCCTCCGTCTCATAATATAAATTTTGACTTTTTGCTTGCACTATTTGACCACTCGTCTTATTCAAAAAATTTGTGCAAATATAAAAAACGAAAAGTTATGCTTAAAGTAATTTGGATAATAAAGTAAGTCACAAATAAAATAAATAATAATTTCAATTTTTTTTGAATAAGATGAATAGTCAAACAGTTAAAGTAAAAAGTCAAAATCCCTTATATTATGGGACGGAGGGAGTAGTACACTATAGGAGTCGGCCGGAAATGCTGTTGGGTGATCGATCGCCCTGGGGATGGGGCAGCGATCGATCCCCTCCCTCCTCCCTCCCTCCACCCCTCCACCTGATTTCCTTTTTTGGCATCGCATTACTTTCCTATTTCAGTAAATTTATATACCTAAAGTTAATACGCCTCAAGTTTACACATCTAAAGTTTAGAGACCAAAAGTTTATAAGTCAAAAGTTTATATATCCGATTCAAATTTGAATTTGAATTCAAATTTTTTTATATATAATATTTCTATACATCTAAAGTTTATACATCTAAAGTTTATACACCTAAAGTTTATAGACCTAAAGTTTATAACTCAAAAGTTTATATACGCGTTTCAAATTTGAATTTGAATTATATCTGATTCAAATTTGAATTTGAATTCAAATATTTTTAAAGTTTATACACCTAAAGTTTATAGATCCAAAGTTTATAAGTCAAAAGTTTACATACCTGATTCAAATTTGAATTTGAATTATATCTGATTCAAATTTGAATTTGAATTCAAATATTTTCTATATATAGTATTTCTATACATCTAAAGTTTATACACCTAAAGTTTATAGACCCAAAGTTTATAAGTCAAAAGTTTACATACCCGATTCAAATTTGAATTTGAATTCAAATTTTTTATATATAGTCATAAATTTTTCTAACTTTTGTTTTTCAAAAAAAAATTGTGTGGTGTACTGTAGTAAAAAGAAAAGAAGGGGAGGAGGAAGGGGGAGAAGAGAGAGGAGTACAGGGGGAGGAGGGGCAAACCGATCACTGGGCGACGGCAATCGATCGCCCATTAGAGCAGGTACAATAGCATGCTATAAGCCAGCTGTAAACATATTTTAAAGAGAAAAAGGAAGAGAAAGAATAGCAGCGGACTACAGATCTGTAGCCAGCTGCAGCACGGACTCCAAGACGTAATGTATATATGACAGATAGGACCATGTATTAATATTATAGTAAGCACTATTGTATGAGTTGGCTATTACATTAGCTATAGATGATTTGGAGTTAGTAGTGAGATATGCTATTAAACTTGCTCTTATACCCTCCGGAGTCGGCTGCTATGTGTCAGACCGAAAATCGACGCCCCAAAATGAGTCGAACTCAGCTGATTAAACAAGTGTTTATCACGGGGAGAATAGAATGGAGAAAGGAACGGTTGGCTGATAGATCGGCAAATGCAGCAGTATGGGTCCCACAAATCGACGCCAACACTGGAAAAAGTGTGACAAGTCTGTGTATTCAGAAAAGTTTGGATTTGATAGAAAAGTTGAAAGATTGAAGAATAATTTGGAACTAAACACGATGGAAATTGGTTTGGGTGGACTCGTGATCATGGACGTGGAGCAGTCGCAGAGGTTTGGAGTTTTGACTATGTGAGTATCTGTCGGCGCAAGCAACTTCAACTCTCCGTCTCTTCCTTTTTTTTTCCCAGCACAGTGTGTCGGCGGCGATCATGGCGGCGATGCTGGACGCCTTCGCGTCGAGCCTCGCACGCATTCTGGCGGAGACGGCGAAGGAGGAGGTCGAGGCGCTGCTGGGCGTGCCCGGCGAGATCTCCAGGCTCGAGGCGACGCTCGGCGACCTGCGCGCCGTCCTCTCCGACGCGGAGAGGGCGCGCGACCGCGACGCGGCCGTGGACCGGTGGGTGCGGGAGCTCAGGGACGCCATGTACGACGCCGACGACATCCTCGACGAGTGCCAGGCCGCCGCGGGGGGCGAGGCCGCGACGCCCGTTGCCATGGCGGGCTGCTGCTGCTGCTTCCGCGGCGTCCGCGTCCCTGCCCTCTCCTGCTTCCGCGACCCCGTCCGGGCACGCGAGATCGGGAAGAGGGTCAGGGCGCTCAACCGGAGGCTGGACGGCATCGAGAGGAGGAGCTCCCGCTTCGGCTTCGTCTCCCAGACTAGGATCATCTCCTCGTCTCCCTCCCCTTGCTGCTCTCGGCGCGCAGATTCAGGCGACGGCCGCCGCACCGCGCTGGGCCTCATCCGATCCGACGTCGTCGGGGAGAAGATCGCGGAAGACACGAGGATGCTCGCCGACATCCTTGTCAGTAAGACGACGGACCTGGACGACGCCGGCGGCGGCTGCAATCTCATCCCCACCATTGCCGTCACCGGCGCCGGCGGCATAGGCAAGACCACCCTCGCCAGGATGGTCTTCGGCGACGCCACGGTCCAAGAGAGCTTCGACGCCAGGATCTGGCTGTTCGTCGGCCGGGACGCCGACGAGGTCACGATGCTGCGCAGCGCCATCGCCCATGCCGCCGGGGCGGCCAGCTGCGAGGGCCTCGCCGTCGCCGGGGACAAGGACCTGCTGGAGCGCGCCCTGCAGCGCGCGGTGACGCACAGGAAGGTCCTGCTGGTGATGGATGACGTGTGGAGCGACGCGGCGTGGAACGAGCTGCTCAGGGTCCCGCTTAGCCATGGCGCCCCGGGGAGCCGGATCCTGGTGACCACGAGAAACGATGGCGTTGCTCACAGGATGAAGGTGAGGTACCTCCACCGTGTTGACAAGCTGCGGCGACAGGATGCTTGGTCCTTGCTCAAGAAGCAGGTCAGTATCACAAACAAATCTGATCAATTGTGCCAATTGCAAGTTTGGGACTGAAATTCGGATTTCACACGATGAGCTTCGATGTTTAAGCTATTGTAGATCTTGAAGAATCCTTAAATAAATGGTTTACAACTATCTACTTTCTAACTGCAATTATGAGAGTTTTTTTTAAGTAAATCACATGATAAAAAAGCATGGTTGTTATTAGGTAAAAATGAATGTTGCAGGTTTTTTTTTTTGTTGTTGTTTACTGTATTTGAGAATAGCTTATATTCAATGGATGTTATTAGGTATACACTTCATTTTTAAGTAAGATAGCTTTTTACTATTCCAACAGATAGTTTTGAACAAGAGTGATGAAGCTGAATTGGATGAGTTGGAGGATATTGGGATGCAAATTGTGGACAGGTGTGATGGTTTACCGCTCGCGATTAAGATGATTGGGGGCCTCTTACTTAGTAAGAGCAGAACAAGAGGTGCCTGGATGGAGGTTTCTAGACATTCTGCATGGTGTAAACATGAAGTGAATGATGAAATTAACAAAGTGGTCTGCTTGAGCTATGGAGAGTTGCCTTCTCATTTGAAGCAATGCTTTGTGTACTGCTCACTTTTCCCACGAGGTGAGGTGATCGAATCAAGAACCATTGTCCGAATGTGGATCGCTGAAGGGTTCGTGCAAGATAGCACGGGTTCAGGATTGCCAGAGGCTGTAGCAGCTCAGTACTACAAAGAGTTAGTCTTAAGGAACCTTTTGGACCCAAGTGATGGGTACTATGATCAACTAGGATGCACCATGCATGATGTTGTCCGGTCTTTTGCCCAACATGTAGCGAAGGACGAGGGATTGTCCATTAACGAGATGCAGAAACAGACCATAGGTGATGCACTTGGTACTCTGAAGTTTCGTCGGCTCTGTATTTCAAACAAGCAAGTCGAGTGGGATGCTTTACAGAGGCAAGTATCACTAAGGACGTTGATACTATTCAGGAGCATCGTTACTAAGCACAAGAATTTCTTGAATAATCTTTCTTGCCTTCGGGTGCTACATCTTGAGGATGCAAATCTGATAGTACTACCAGACTCCATCTGTCACCTTAAGCATTTGAGATACCTAGGTCTCAAAGGCACATACATATCTGCACTCCCTAACCTCATAGGGAATTTGAGGTTTCTACAGCACATTGATCTCTGTGGTTGCATAAATGTGTCTGAACTTCCTGAAAGCATTGTTCGACTGCGGAAGCTAAGATCACTGGACATCAGACACACAATGGTATCTTCAGTTCCTAGGGGTTTCGGAAAGCTAGAAAATTTGGTTGAGATGTTGGGGTTCCCAACCGATTTGGATGACAGTACACATGATTGGTGTAGCTTGGAAGAGCTAGGATCTTTGCCAAATCTCAGTGCACTACATTTGGAGGTTCTGGAAAAGGCAACACTTGGCCAAATGGCAGCAAGATCAAAGCTCAGCAGCAAGCAGAATCTCACACAACTGGAGCTGAGATGCACTAGCAGGATCAGCGCAAACGGCACCGTGCAAGGTGGTATCAGCGAGGAGGATTGCGAGAGAATCGAGAACGTTTTTGAGCATCTCCGCCCTCCACCTTCAATTGACCGTCTTACGATTGCAGGTTACTTTGGACATCGGCTACCGCAGTGGATGGCCACGGCGACCGCCTTTCGGAGCTTGAGGCGGCTGGTGCTAGAAGACTACGCGTGCTGCGACCGGCTGCCCGGTGGCTTGGGCCAACTCCCTTACCTTGACTACCTCTGGATTGAGCATGCACCATCCATTGAGCATGTCAGTCATGATTTCATCCTCCCTCCGGTAGGCATTGCTGTCGATGGCAACGCACCATCGACGACGACAACAACAACTAAGACTGAAGGTGCAGGCATTGCGTTTCCCAAGCTGAAGCGGCTGGGTTTCCAGGGGATGTTGAGATGGGCATCGTGGGACTGGGACGAGCATGTCCAAGCAATGCCTGCTCTGGAGTCGCTCACAGTGGAGAACAGCAAACTGAATCGTCTCCCTCCGGGGCTTGTGTACCACACCAGAGCACTGAAAGCTTTGGTGCTGACGAACGCCGTGAGCCTTGAATCCGTAGAGAACTTGCATTCGCTGGTTGAACTTTACCTGGCTGACAACCCAAAGCTAGAGATGGTTGTAAACTGCTCGAGCTTGACGAAGATTGAGATCCTCAGATGCCCAGAGCTGAAGGCGTTTGACAGGTTGCCTGCAGTCCGGAGCATCGTTTGGGAGGACTTGGATGCTGACACGCTCCCGGGGTACTTACAGGAGGCAAAGGTAAAGAGGTTACACATAAACTGCAACTTGAGCTTGCTCAACCTGATATCCTTGCAGGATGCCAGCTCTGAAGAGTGGAGGAGCGTCCGGCATGTGCAACAATTGAAGGTTTTCGGGTTCAAACCACAGAGCGAAACGTCTGAATGTTACTTCCTTTATACCAAAGAGCCATATCACGTCGAAACAAACATCTCCAAAGCCTGAACTTCTGCTAGATGTATTTGTCATTTGTCTTGAAAAAGAATGTTGTATTACTATCTGTTTCCTCTACTTTGTTATTCTCATTTCTGATTTGCACGTTCTGTTTACTGCAATCAGGCTGATTCTGAAGCTTCAGCAGTCAGCTTATCGAATTTCACCAGCTCCATCTGAAATGCTTTACATGCAGAAAACAGAGAGCTTCCAATGGAAAATGCATGCGCAACTGCAATTTTGCTTTTTTTTAAAAAAAAGATCGTTCAGTGAACAATTTGCACATACCTAACCCCCAGGATAAAAATTAAAAGAAAAGTTTATTCATGCATCCATTTCCTTTCAAGAAAGGAGATGAGACAACTTTCACTTTTTAAGGTGTGACATTTTGAAGCTTCCTACTGAACAAGCTATTTTATATTCGTTCAGGGGAAAAGTGGAATGGAAACAACCCATTCCATGAATTCGCGGTCAGACGTACGAAAATATAAACCATAACACAATGGTATCACACATGGGAGGCCTCCAATTTAAGGGACAATACATATAGGAAAACACCGACAAAAACGGATAATCTCAACAATCCCCTTTGATGATTTGATTTATAGATTGTATGAACTGTTGGTTGATTACATTTATGTTAGCTGAGAGGAGATAAAAACTACTAATTAGATGAAACGAAACAGTTCCTCTGCAGCAACCATATTACTCTTGTTAGATAAGAGTCTATCACACTGTGTAGGACTGGTGAATGGTATCAATGTCCAGGCCCTTCAGCTTCACAACTGACTCCACATGCCCCTTCAGCGTATGAAGCTCCCTGAGCCTGCAAGTGTAGCATCAACAGCAAGAACAAGCACATAGTTAGTTAGCTTTACATCGTTTTCACGCCACGTGTTCCAGGGGGATGCAAATTGGCATTGTGCAGCTAGAAAGGGAGATGCTTCTTGATCTTGGAAGGAACATGGCAAAAGCAACTGAGAATTGATGCAATATAAAGGACATGGTGCTTCTATATGATTCTTAAGGTGACAGATCATGGAAAAGAATTATACAAGTGTCTACTGCAGATTTAGGTCCTACCTTGCAATCTCGGCCCTCCGTTTCGCCTCTTCCGCCATCTGATTCAGCTCACTGTAGCCGGTCTTCTCTGGGAAGGGCTTCGCATCCGGTGGCTGCAGGCCATGGAGTGTCCTATGTGCATGTGCCCACTTGAGTTCCCTCTCTTCCTTGCCAAAATCCTTCTTCCTTGTAAACGCAATCTGTCGAAATCGATGGGCCATTAGTCACAAATGCATGGAAATTCAGTCGAAATAGGTAAGGAGCCAAGACAACTATGCAGGGTGCATTAGCATTACTCTCTGCTCAATGACAAGATCCCATGCTTTCCCACTCAGAGCATATCGGATGAGGAACTTGATGATATCGAGCGGGAAGTAGAAAACGAGATTGTAGAGCCACACGATACCGGCCCAGCCCCATCCAATGCCTTTGATTGAAGTGAATGCCCAGTTAGCATAAACAGCTATCAATGTAGCTATCTGCATTTGAAGGGGAAGAAAGTTAGATTAACACAATTCTACCCAGAAGAGAATTTATCAGTTTGCGGTAATAGGGAGAGAGCATACCAGCTGTGCAACGAAGAAAGCAAAGACAAGTAGAAAGCCAGGGCGTTCGATAAATGACCAGCTGCGAGACCTTGTGACAAAGATAAGAGCTTGGCTGATGGTGCTAACTTGAAGATATACAGCAGATGCAAGCTTTTGGTAGTCATCTTGAGCTGTCTTCTCAAGGCTTTCGACGTGAAAGATCCTCTGAAAATCAATGCAACATTAAGTTTCAAAGCGAATACAAGAATCAATCACAAAATGTGGTAGGCCAACAGTTCAATTAGAACCATTTGTTATCATTTTTTGGCACTTCTTACAGGGAAAAAGTTGGTCTTGTATGCAGCCCAGAAGAATATAACAGTCATCATTGCCAAGTATCCACCCAGCACAACTCCAGTTGTGAAAATTTCAGCCAACTTCCAGCTGTCAGGTAGTGGAGAAGGCTTTACTAGATCCTTAGATATAGTCATTATGGTACCTGTTTGTGCCAGAAAATGGTTGAAGTGAACATCATGAAAATAGTTTCTACTTACTACTGAAGTTTTAGGAGAGATAGCAGGGATGGAGGGAACAAGAATGTGACATACCATCATTCAGAATTGCAATGATCAGAACCATAAATGGCGGGAAATCAAACTCCCATATAAGGGCAAGCAGCATAAACCCAAACTGTCAAAAGAGCAGTCAATATACATTAAGTGCTAGCTAAAACATAAAGTTGATACACATTGTTTGGCATAGTAAGATGAAAACATCATATTGGGGATCATCAAAGTTAATGTGTACAAAAGGTTATACACTGGAATCATTTAGTGCTTAGTTCTGTTAAATTTATCTGAATGGTTAGTTCTGATTGACCTGTAGTTAAACTAAAATACCTACGAGAACAATCAACTATTTATTTACCAAATGAGAGGAAATCCATAATTTCTAGTTCTCCAGTAAAGAAAACATACCACAATACGTATTGTAATCGAGACAGCATATATCTGCAAACATGGAAATGAATTAGCAAAATAACCCAAGGAAAAAGGCAGAATATTAAAAGACACTATGTTTGTTTCCATCTGACTTACAGTGTAGTTCTTCATTCGCTGGAAAATCGCCCGACTGGTAAGAACAGCACTAATGATCACACTCAAGCCAGGTTCTGTGAGTACAATATCAGATGCACTCCTTGCTGCATCAGTCGCATCAGCAACTGCTATACCAATATCAGCTTTCTTTAGGGCTGGAGCATCGTTTACACCATCACCAGTCATTCCACAGATGTGCTTCCGTGCTTGCAGACGTTTTACAATCTCATACTTGTGCTCTGAGAAAAGAGAGAACTTCACAGTTATATTTTTCTTTGTGACTTTCAACCATTTGGTTTTTATTCTGCAATTGATTGCATACAAACCTGGGAATACACCAGCAAAACCATCAGCTTTCTCGATTAGATCGTCAACTGGTAAAGCAGCAACAGACTCATCCTTGTTCTGTCCCAACAAAGCAGATGAAGGGTACATGTTTGTACCCATTCCTAGACGACGCCCTGTTTCTTTCCCAATCGCTAGTTGGTCACCTGAAGATAAAGAAATAATTTTAATTCCCATAATTCAGAAAGATTAACAAAATTGCAATAAATTTCCATGACATGATCCAGTAATGACACTTGGTAGACCAACTCTCAACTTACCACAATTTTTTAGGCATGTTTACAGTGTTAATTTTAAAAAAATGTTGAATCAGAATTAAATATAAATTATCCTCACAAAAATAATTTAAATAAGTTATATAAACAAGAAAGAGTCTCTATAAACATTAAGTTAGACCTGTAAATGGATACATATAAGCAATGGTGAAGACTGGAACCGCTACAAAGACCACTATCTGCAGCTTTGAACTGGTGATGGTCCCCATGGCTCCAAACAATGACAGAAGAGCAATGGATGGTTTATTTTTTTTTAATGATGAAAATTGAGTTTCTTCTTTATGATACATCATAATCATGCATTTCTTATTGAACAGATTGCAGTACTGCAAATTTATGCTAGTTGTTCTTCCTATTGTACTCCCTCCGTCCCAAAATATAAGGGATTTTGGGTGAATGTGACTCTCTGTCCAGATTCATTGTCCTAGGAAGTGTCATATCCACCCAAAATCTCTTATATTTTGGGACGGATGGAGTAGATTAGGATTCTAGTAACTGATGCACCATATAATAACTGGACATGGAGTACCCTCTCACCACCACAACGACCAGAAAAGAATAATAAAAAATATATATAACAAATAAACCATCTAGATTTTTTTTTTCAATCAGAAGAGTACCTGTGATCATCTTAACATTTACACCAAGGTTAAGTGCCCTTCGAATTGTTTCTGCACTATCATGCCTTGGAGGATCAAAGAGTGGAAGGAGAGCAACAAAGCGCCATGGCCCACCAGGACTCTCTTTCCTTCCATCTGGAACTTCCTACATGACAGGGAAAGGAGACCATAATGAAAATTAAACTGGCCCAGGGAACAATGATTTTTCAACATATATAATGACTCTGGATAGTTCCTAATCTTAATTAACTCAAAATGTTAAAACATTCAAATTGTGCAAAGAGTATCCGAAGAAGTGCTAACCTGATATGCTACAGCAAGTGATCGAAGTCCACGTTCTGCAAACTTATCAATTACAGCATGGACTCGTCGTTCTATCTGTGTCTTGTTGTGTGCCAGGTTGAGAATCTGCATGTCAATTTATGAAATCAATCAATAACTCCATCATATAAATGGAAATTTCCAGCAAAGCTTTTTTAACATATCTGCAGATGATTTTTGTTGTACCTGCTCTGGTGCGCCTTTACTAACACGGTACATCTTTCCATCACTATCAATGTATGTCAATGCAGTTCTCTTGTCAGTCGGATTGAATGGCAGGAAGTGAACCTCTTGAATACCAGCACGTGCCTGCAGGAAATATTTCCTGGTGTTTAATTCCTCAAATAAACAAGATAGTCGTTCCTCCCCTATCTGACAAATCGATGTACCTCTTTTGGATCAGCGAGCATCCCGACTATTGCAGTATCAATAGCATCTTGATTTTCTGTTCGGGATGCTCTAGCAGCCATCAGAATTACTTGGTCCTGAGTGACTCCTCTTTCAAAAATCTGGATAAAAAGATGTAAATAAGTGCTTTAATTAAATTTAAATTAAGGGAAAAAATAATTGAGTTTACCTCAATGAGATTCTTGTCCACTGTGAGCTTATTTAAAGTCAGAGTTCCTGTTTTATCACTGCAAAGAACATCCATGCCAGCCATCTCTTCAATTGCAGTCATTCTCTTTGTTATAGCTCCCTGCAGAAATAAAATTCAGAATCAAGTATTATAGTACAGAAGTTCTGGTATGGCTACACTATGTTTAACAGTGTGCCTAAAAAGATACAAACCTGCTGAGACAAGCGATGAGACCCTATTGCCATGGTTACAGATAAGACTGTGGGCATTGCTATAGGAATGCCTCCAATGAGAAGCACCAATAGGTTGTCAATCCCAGGGCGGTATGGCCTGTGCTGGATAGGGTACATGACAATGATCTCAACAAACATCCCCACAGCAATTGAGCAAATGCAAAAATTCCCGATAGCTGTTAAAACCTGCACAAAGTGGATAAAAATGAATGCAAGAATGAGTGATAAATTGATTATTCAGATGGCTAACAACATGAGACATGAACAGAAGTGAGGCTTCTCAATCTTGCCTTTTGGAAATGGCCAACTTGATTGGTGGAATCAACAAGATGTGCAGCCTTTCCAAAGAAAGTGTGCACACCAGTTGCAATCACAACAGCCTCAATCTCACCCTGCTTAACCGTTGAACCAGAGTAAACACCGTCACCAGGACCTTTGGTGGCTGGCAATGACTCTCCAGTCAGCGCAGACTATTAACAATAGATCACATCATGACATGAGTAAACCTCAATTACTTAAAGACTGAAAATGACTTTAAAATGTGAATTGCAGAAAGAACCTGATCAATCTTCAAAGGATCTCCTTCCAGGAGGCGAGCATCTGCGGGAATGATATCTCCCAGCTTAATACTGATGATGTCCCCAGGCACAAGGATGGCTGCCTCTTCCTCAGTCCAACTACCATTTCGGAGCACCTAACAACCAACACAACATGAGTTTCAATATTCAAAAGTGCTCCACCTCAATATGGACAATAGAGTGGATATCTCATAATAAAAGTGGAGATTGAAGAAAGACCTTGGCTTTTGGCGCAAGACGCGCCATGAGCGCAGCAGCAGCATTGCCAGCATTGTTTTCCTCAATGAAACTGATAGTTGAGTTGATAAGTAGCAGTGTGATGATACCAACAAAGTCCTGCCAATCTGGTGGCTTCCCCTGATGATAACACCACATATATTGTTAAAAGGAACGGGACCACTTACACAGTTGCCCTGCATTCATCAACAGAGAAAAGGACAGAAGCCAAGTACTAAATAGGAGTAACAGATTTTGTCATTATGTCTAAGACTCCTAAGTACTTACCCCACCATTGGCTAATGCAATGGCCATGATAGCTGCAGCCTCCATGACCCATGACAGCGGATTCCACATGAACCCCAAGAACTTGAGGAATTTGCTCTCCTGCAACCATCAATGACCCAGCATAAGCGGAAACGTAACGCAAATGAACTGAATTATAGTATTACTTTCCAACAAGAAAAAGGTAAATCTTTGATAGCAATGGCAAGATGAGATGAAGGAACTCAACCTCCTTCTCCTCGAGCTTGTTCGGACCAAAAAGTTGCAGGCGCAGCTGCGCCTCTTCGGAAGTGAGCCCCTGTCGGCAGCATTTCAAATTCTGGAATACTTCTTCGATCGGGATGTTCTCCTGTAAATAATTGAAATTTTAGTTTTTTTTTATTCTTAAAAAAATCGGCACAAAGAAAGTTACCAGAACCTGCACGCAATTGTCATGATGGTAACCCAAGAAAAACAAAATAAAGATTTGACTACCAATAATAAAATATGTTTTCAACATTCAAGTATGAGACCTATGATTCCAATTTCCACGGAACCAAGAACTGTAACAGATTCCAATAAACAAGAATCAATCTTCAAATGCAAATAACCATAAAACGATATGAACCGAGTAAAAAAAACACACACACGAGAAAACTAAAGCAAGCAGTCAACATCTGCATGTGGGGGAAAGACGATATCCTACCGTCGAATATAATAATCAGAGATCAGAGAGTGACAAGAACAGTAACCGAATATAAAAAAATGAACCTTTATTCCAAGAATATCACCTGACATTCTGGAATTCACAAGAAACAACTAGTTCATGCCGATTTTGCTGCACAGCCCACCAACCAAACAAGAACTTCGAACACACGCGCACACACAAAAAAAATCTGCATTTTTCTGAACTCTGACTCGACTCCACGAACTACTAACACACATGCAAGAACAAACAAACGGGTATCCATCAAATCCAAGAACATGCAGAAACCAAGATCCCTCCGAACAACAGAAGCGCGTGAAAGAGACCAATCATCTCTACCACAAACCGAGGCCACCCTGAAACTGAAATCCTTGAAACCAAAGAACAGCAAGAACCGAAACCAATCTCGCCACCCTGAAAAAACCATCCATCCATCCCAAGAAACCACAACCACGCCAAAAATCATCCTCCAAAACCCAAGAAACCCCCGGTGCTAAACCCAAGAACACCCCAAGAACAAGTGAACAACCATCCCATCCAAAGATGAGGGCGTTACCAAGTCGACCGACTCCTTGAGGACGGCATCGAGGCCTCCCTTGTCCTCCGCCATGGAGGCGACCTCCCACACCTCTGAAACCCACCCTCAACGAGTGCCCCCCCTCCCTCCCTTGCCAAAAAGAACTCGCCTTTCTTTCTTTCTCGCACTCTTTCCGGTCCCCTTGCCTCTCCTCCCAGCTATTTATACGCGAAAAACATTTCCAGTGAGCAAACTGCAGTAGATGGATAGATAGCGAGGTCAAAGAGGAGGAGAGAGTGGCTTTCCACGCGGCCCACAAGAGACACCAGCAGCAGAGAAGAATGTGGAAGAAAACGGCAAGAAATGGAAATGAATTGGACAACAAAAGAAAGGGTAGGTAGTGTACCAGGCAAAGGGGAGATTTTGGGCTGGGAAAAAGTAGGTTTTTTATGTGAAAATCAGGACAATCTGTGGTTCTCCTCACAATTATATGCCTATAGATGGTTTTTTTTTTTGGGTTGTTGTTGTTGTCATATAGGGTTACTCCTTGCTATTTTAGTTCATTACCATTTTATTATGTTAGTAATAATGTGTGATTTTATAACAGCTTTAAAAATATACTAGTACTTGGTACTAAATTTCTTTTTAGACCTCAGCTTTCTAACCTGAGGTTGTTTATTGTTTACATTTGAAAATAAGAATAGATTCAAAGTATTGATCTAGATTATAAAACTAGGCCCTAATAGCATGCGCTATCTGCCGCAGCCGTAGCGGCTGCAAGGCCAACTGAACACAGCCCTAGTAGTTTACAAAAGTATTTTGGTGAGGATTGTGGTAGTTCAAACCGGCTGGGTGCTACAACCGTTTACAATGTCACAGCCGTAGCCGTTGCGGCAGCAAGGCCAGCCGAATGCACCCCTAGTAGAGATTGTAAAAGTATTTTGGTATGGATGCATGATTGTAAGGGCAAAAGGCTAGATTTATTTTTTTTTCCATGTAAAATAATAATGTCAAAGAACATGTGTAATGGTTGTGGTGGCAAACATAATGATCAATGCGTGTATAAATTAAAAGGAGTTACAGATATAAATACATATGACCACAAATATGTTGTTTCCCATTGCATATTTGACTTTAGTGATTAGTATAGGAGCGTCACTCTATCTAGTGGACATCAACAAAGCGACAACAAAATCGACGTTATGGCTACACCTTCTTCGCTACTGAACTAATTATACTACGTGAGCATAGATATCTCTTGCAGGCCATATGACATCGGTCGTATCGGCACCTACCAACAAAAAAAAAAGGTTGGTTGATTCAGTGTAGATAGGGATCCACCTCTTGGTTTTCCACCTCTTGTTGGTTTTCTTGGCGTTTGATCTAGAGTTTTCTATTATTTTCTACGTAGTAATTCATTTGGTAGGATTCAACACTCAATGAACATACAATATGTTAGAGAAGCTTTGGAACATTAGGAAATAGGATTAAGATTTAAGATTTCCGACTAACTTTATGTGCATGATCAACATAAAGTGGTACCTTCAGGTTGATGTATGTACTCTATAAAAGATAATAGAAATTCTCTATGGACTCTCTAAAGAGGAAATGTGAGCCCAAAAAGGCAAAAACAATGGTACGTATTCGAGCTACCTTCTAGTTTTTTTTACAAATGAGTGTATTTGATTCCTTTTCTCAGTCCATGTTGTTTTCATTTTATACTTCTAGAGTAAAAAAAAGATCCTGTCAAATCATCATCGTACAACACACCGCCTGAGTACGTTGTGAATAAAGGCACATAGAAAATATTTTTCACAAAAGATAGGCGCAGGAGCTTTCTTTTTTTTCATATGCACGTCCACGCCACTATACAAGGACCCACCCATAAAATACAATCTCTAATATATGTTCACATAGGCGGAGACTAGCGGTACATCCGATCTCACTAGAATATTATTAATTAAAAGGGTACCTATACATATGGGAAACATTCGTAGGCATCAAGATTATATGAACACTAGCACATTGAGTTAAGCATCCATGATGTCACCATCATATTATCGGTGCTTTCCAATGCATGAACTTTCAAAATTAACGTTGTGAGAGAAAAAAGATATTATGATAACGTATAGTATTTCTTCCTATACGTTAACCAAATATTTTCTTCCTATACGTTAATCAAATATTTTAGGTGTGTTTGTGGCCAGGTAGACATGAACCCAAGGCTAAATTATGAGTCTAAAAGTCAGCCTATGGTCTAGAAAAAGCCCAAATTTTGAATTAATTATATAGACATGTTTTATTTTAAAGATAAGTTATAGAATTATAAAAGAATAATTTACAAACAATGAATATGCCTTTCTTTAGTTTTTAATCGTATTTATCCGATTAGACATCTGATATAGTTAGAACTAATCTTCAATATACCTTAAGTTCACATTAATTATAAAAAGAGAACCATTGGATAACTTTTATCACTCATCATAACCATCTAATATATATACTTCCTCCGTTTCACAATGTAAGTAATTCTAGCAATTCTCACATTCATATTAATGCTAATGAATCTAGACATATATATCTATCTAGATTTATTAAAATCAATATGAATATGGGAAATGCTAGAATGACTTACATGGTGAAACAGATGGAGTATTAAACAGTGAAGTGTATGGATGATTCCTAAACTTGTTCAGCTATATCATCTAGATTCCGAAACTCTTATACACATTTTCAAGCTCTTAAACTTGTCTTAGGTACCATAGCTAGTCTAAATGGACTCCAACCTACTCCGCGCGCTGATGTGGTACTCCTCAGTCACACGTACGTGTTAGTGGGATCCATATGTTACACATAAAAAAAATAAAAATAAAACACTCCTCCTTCTCCTTCTTCTTCTTCTTTTTTTCCATTTCTTCTTATCTCCTTTCCTTTCTATTCCCGTGAATTGCGAATAGACTGATCTATTACATGTACATGTATGCATATAGCCCACGTGCGCCAAGGTCAAACATGCATTACGTGGATTTTAGCTCTTTGCGAGCCATGCCATGCATGTCAGCAGCAGCCCTTGCTCCACGCCAGCAAATTAATTTCACCGACTGCGATGGGATCTCGTATTGAAATATTAAATATACTAATAACTCCGGGTTTTTTTTTTATATGCGACGCTCTTCAACTTTTATCTTGTTAAAAATGTTCAAAATTTAGTATAAATATATAAAATTATAAGTTAAAATTTAAAACTAGAAATTTAGTAGAAATATATAAAGTTGCAAGTTAAATTAGAGTTTCTTTAATGAAAATAAATAACATTTATATAAAATTTTTGAGTAAAAAATAGATAAATATTACAATAGAAGTTAATAGTATACGGATAAAGTATTTCATTTTTTTAAGACGTTGGTCACCATCGTTACATATTTTAGGATGGCGAGAGAGTACTCCCTCCTTCCCTAAATGTTTGACACCGTTGACTTTTTTAAATATGTTTGATCGTTCGTTTTATTAAAAACTTTTGTGATATGTGTAAAACTATATGTATACATAAAAGTATATTTAACAATAAATCAAATGATAGAAAAAGAATTAACAATTACTTAAATTTTTTGAATAAGACGAACGGTCAAACATTTTTAAAAAAGTCAACGGCATCAAATATTTTAGGATGGAGGTAGTATATAATAGTCATTTGAAATATAGTCATTTTGTTCATCGTTGATGAACCAAATATTATTTCACCGAGCAAAGACATATATAATCTATATTTATGACAGTTATAGCATCCTGAATTTTCATATATATTGTTGTTACCGGGTCACAATCTGCAGTACCATCACGTTCGTGATCTCTTATACTCCCTCCGTTTCAAAATGTTTGACACCGTTGATTTTTTAGTACGTGTTTGACCATTCGTCTTATTTAAAAAATTTAAGTAATTATTTATTCTTTTCACATCATTTGATTCATTGTTAAATATACTTTCATGTACACATATAGTTTTACATATTTCATAAATTCTTTTGAATAAGACGAACAGTCAAACATGTGCTAAAAAGTCAACGGTGTCAAATATTTTGAAACGGTGGGAGTATATGTTAATTATTGGTGTTCAGATTCATCACATCGTTTGCTGTTTTCACATCTGGCACGTTTGTTTTGATCTATTAAGCGTGATAAACTCTCTTTACTTAGGAGTACGTGTGATTGATATCTTAATTGGTATCAACTGCTATGCTGACCCTATCATTAAAGTGCCCTTCATTACCGTACTAATACTGGAGTAGTATAAATCTTGTGCCACCACCTCCAGTTTTTAAATACAGTATATGGCAATATTGTCAACTGTTATACATGATATTCAATCATTCGTTTTACTATTAATTTTTTATATAAATATCATCCATTCAGTTATGATCTTTATTACCATTAAATATATTTTAAGTATGAATTATAGTTTTTAATATTACATTAAATTGTTGAACATGATGAATATTAAAACATCGTGTCAAAAATCATCGCATATTTAAAAACTGAACTAGTACTGTTATATACTTGAATTGCACCTTTATCCCAAAATAGTTATATAGAACGAAGGTTGTACGCACCGTTGGATGGTATGTACAGCCATTTTTTATTATGTACAAATTCTAACCAAGATAATCCTCTCTTATATGCAAAGGTACCATATTATCATCCACTAACAATTACTATTACATTTAAGTATCGTACATGTATTGCTGTAATATTTATAATTTAATAATTTATTAAATTTTAGAGACTTAAAATGTAAGCATGTCAAATCATTCCACATAATTCATATAATATTTTAATATATCTCTTCATCGTTTTTTCTATATTATCTCCTATACCTATCAAGTTCATCCCCACTTAGTTCATGTTACTTATATTTTTCTCTCATTAAGTCATATCTCATCAATTGTTTTTAATTTTTAATCCTTATATGATTATTAATCTTTGGTTCAAATTATACCTCTTCTTTTCTTCTCTCATTAAGCCATATAATCTCAATTTTTTTAGCCGTTAGATGTATGATCTAAATTATCTTCCTTCTTTTGTTTTCTCATAAGCCACATCATCTTACTTTTACATTTGAATCATCATTCTATATAGTAATTAAATTTAAATCACATCAACTTATGTTTATGTAAGCTCATATTGTTTAAGCCATCTTATACATTAATTTTACTTATTATTATCGTATTAAACTCTCACAGGAGTATGCAGGGTTTCACCTAGTAAACACTATGGAATTGCAGCCAGCCGTTGTCTTGGGAGTCTAGCAGCCACGTTACAACTTAGGGTGTGTTTAGTTCGCGTTAAAATTGGAAGTTTGGTTGAAATT